GCTAAAATATGAGTCCATAATCCATAATAACATTTCCTCCAGTGGAAAAAGTGGTCTGGGCTGAATCAGGAGAGAAATCTGCACAGATCAAGTCAAAACGGCTCTAAACAAATATGTGGCTGGATTTTGATGTGAGAGACGACAGGAGATGGACTTTTTCACTGGCCGAACTTAGTGTTATTATGGATTATGGACTCGTATTTTGGCCAGAAGCAACAGTTTGAATGATGTCTTAATGCTGGATTAGTTTCAGCTTTTGTCTTCTCCAGATGTTAACTGATGGACTGGAGTGGTGTGGATTACTTGTGGATTATTGTGATGTTTTTATCAGCTGTTTGGACTAGAGACCTGCACTCCCGCGGGACCCAACACAACAGGGTGTGGCGCGGGACAACTCTTGATGGGCGAGTGCGGGTGCGGGATACGGGAGAATAAAATGATTCGCTGGACTCCCGCAAAATAGAATTGATCTAAACATAAAGTGTCTAAAACATATAAATTGATATTTATCTGTTGCACTAAAGCAAAAAGAACAACTAATATTAACATTAAAATGATTAACGCACAAACTAGACATAGCCTAGTTTCCATTTATAATGTAGCCAATCAGACACGGCTGTTGATTTCTGGAACGCAGTGGCCAATCAGAGGTGATCAAGTTAGAATCTACTCACCGCAGTGCTGAAATTGCATGCTGACAAATCCTCTCATTTTAGACACTGAAAGATTCATTGTGCATATATTTAGTATATTTAGTGTTATAACAGAGCTTTATGAGATTGCAATTAACTGAGATGTCAGCTTTTTGTGATAATAAAGGAAGTGTGCTGCTCGCATTCTGCCATGCCAAACCATGCACACAGCAGCCCATGCTTGCTTTCCGTAAAAAATAACAGTAGTTGTGAATGTTGATGCTTAGTCTAAATTAATATTTTATCGGTAGTAGTTTGTTATGTTTATGCTGGGATGTTGAGGAGCTTAGGAGATGTTACAGAACCATTTCATGTAAATTTCTTCAATGTACTTAAAACAATCTATATAGATTACTTTTTTGTGGGCGGGAGCGAGACAAAACATGAATGTCGCGGGCGGGATCGGGACCAGATAAGATATATTTCTGCGGGAGCGGGCGAGTGCGCAGTTCTCTAGTCTGGACTCCCATTCTGATGGCACCCATTCACTGCAGAGCATCCATTGCTGAGACACTGATGCAATGCTACATTTCTTCAAATCTGATGAAGAAACAAACTCATCCTAATCTTGGATGATCTGAGGGTGAGTGTATTTTCAGCTAATTTTCATTTTTGGGTGAACTATACCTTTAATGGCCCAAATAAGGAGTCTCTGTGATATTCTGGTCTGTAGAAATGGCTATTTTGTATTTTGAGCAAACTTCTAACCTAAAGTATGAACAATAATGTTGCTTGACTTAGCAAACATCACAATTTTTAAAAAATCAGCAGTATCTTTAATGGTTATTTTCTGTATTTCTTCAGATAGAGGAGGGAACGTTGCCTCACAGGAGCGCTTTGGGCTTCCCGGGCTTAGCTGGAGGATTCACTTTTTCAGTGTACGGTACGATGAGATCAATTATGTAGTGTTTGTGTTCTGTGTGATTCAGCCTTGTGTTCTGATGATCAATAAAATTGATGGATTTCAGCATTGATTTGTGACACCATGAAATAGAAATTAATGTACATACATACACTACCATTCAAAAGTTTTGGTCGGTTAGATTTTTTAAATGTTTTTAAAAGAAGTATCTTTTGCTCACCAAGGCTGCATTTATTTGATCAAAAATATAGTAAAAACAGGAATATTGTGAAATATTATTACTATTTAAAATAGCTGTTTTCTATGTGGATATATGTTAAACTGTAATGTATTTCTGTGATGTGCAGCTGTATTTTCAGCATCATTACTCCAGTCTTCAGTGTCACATGATCTTCAGAAATCAGTATAATATGCTGATCTGCTGCTCGAGAAACATTTCTGATTGTTATCAATGTTGAAAACAGTTGTGCTGCACAATATTTTTGTGGAAACCGTGATACATCTTATTTTTCAGGATTCTTTGATGAATAGAAAGTTCAAAAGAACAGAATTTATTTGAAATATAAATATTTTTTAACATTATGAATGTCTTTACTGTCACTTTTGATCAGTTTAGTGCATCTGCTGAATAAAAGTATTAATTTCTTTCAGAATAAAATTTGACTGACCCCAGACTTTTGAAGCGTAGTGTTTTTCTCTCCCCTGCTAGTTATTAGAGCTAAATAAAAATATTACATATCTGTGTTTTCAGACTTTTGACTACAGACTTCATAATCATTTGCTCTGAAATGCTTTAAAGAGTGATTTATTTTCAACCAGAGGAACCATTATTTCAACTAAACAGTCAGTGTAGCCAAATAGCTATAAATATTTAATGCAAGAAATAAATCTGCACAAATCTAGTTAAAATAATGCAAATTATCTATACATTCATGAAATGAAGAATCAGATTTAACCCCATTTTTTTAAGTTAGACATCAACTTTCTTAGTATTCGTCTATGTAATCAATTCATTATAAACAATATAACAAGAAAAATATAATAAAATATAAAAGTATGCCTGTTTTCTGATTAATATTTTGTAAAACGTGTATAGGGCTGCTAGAGACTTGAGGTATGTAAATATGTAAGTATATTTTTCCTGCGCAACTATATTTACATATCTGATGACTCAAAATGTGCAATGCATCTTTATTCCTCGAGGTGGCACTGTTTGATACACAATGATGACATAATTACCGCAGGCATAAAGCAAAATTAAACTGGTTTGACTGGCTTTACTGCAGAGCAATTACTGTATGCAATGAAATATAAATGTCACTGTCATTTGATGGTGGATGTGGTGAATAAGCTGCCAGTGATCAAAATATTGATTTTGAAGTCATTGAAAACGATAGTTTTGAGAATATGGTTGAGATCGTGAATGAGACAGGTGCTGAATGCACTGTGGAAGTGCACTCGGACGATGACAGCGATGGTTAAATCATCTGCTCAAATTGAACCCTTCTAAGTTTCAAAAGGTAACGAAATATGCTTTATTTTATTCTTCTGTAATTGTTCCTAAAATACCAAGAGGAATTTCTATTTTGCTATTGCAGCAGTTAGAAATTCATCCATGCTGGATATATAGGTCCAGGTCGCTAAGACCTGAATATGTAATAATGATTGGTGAAACATTCATGCATTTAAGGATTAATCATTTTAATTATTATGCACCATTATAACACTCTTTAAGAAATCAAATAAAAAGTGCATCAAAATTATTGTTACAAAATCATAGTGAATGTTCATGTAGCTTAATTCACCAGCAAAATCATTGTGAATATATTGTGAGAATTCCACATCCATCCATTTATTCCAGTATATTGCTCGTCATTTGTAACAGTGACTCTCTCTCTCTCTCAATTCAATTCAATTCAATTCATATTGCTTTATTGGCATGACATACTTGGGTACATATTGCCAAAGCATTGTACATAGCAGAATAAAAAATACATATAATATACATGCGTAAACAAACAAAACAAAAATACATGTAAAATACATCCATATATATATTTATATAAACATTGATGGTACTACTAATGCAGATGTGTTCACTCTTTAACTCTTAGTTTGTGGCATTTAGGAAGTAGGTCCTTCACCAAGTAATATTCTTAATTTGTGGTTTTCATGGAGCGACTGGAAGTCAGGAATGCTCTGCTGTATTTGACTGTACAGTGAGGCTCATTGGTTAGCTGGGCCAGTGTGTGCTGTGATCGGTTAGCTGGGCCGGTGTGTGTTGTGATTGGCAGCACTCGGCGCCTGGTCAGGAAATGTCATGCCCCTTACCATAGCCACCTGCGAGCTTCAGTGTAAATATTGCGTCAAAATCAAATCAATTCAATTTAAACCCGGATGATTGTAACCACTCTAAGTTCATCTGTTTTGGGAAAGCTAGCGTGTCTCCAACATAGTGATGACACTCGTTGCCTTCTCTAGTGCAGCTCAACCAGGTCTCGTCCCATTCGTCGATATTTGTGATATCACAAATCCCGGAAAATATGCATTGTAGTCCATCCAAACGAGTCGTTTGTTGTAGTTTTTGAAAAGTGATTTCTGTTAAATAAAATATCTCCTTTTGAAGTGGAATTTGAACTTTGTAACTTTGCAGATAATTTTTTATGCTCAAACAGCAAAATTAAGTCAAGTCAAGTCACCTTTATTTATTAATAGAGCTTTTAACAATACAGATTGTGTCAAAGCAACTGTACAGTATTAATTAGGAAAATATTGTGTCAATAATGCAAAATGATAATAGTGAACACTCAATTTTCAGTTAGAGGCAGTTCATCATTGAATTCAGTGATGTCATCATCCAGCTCAGTTCAGTTTAAATATGGCGCTTTTCCACTGCGTGGTACGACTCGGCTCGGTTTGCGTTTCCACTGCAGTTTAGTATCGCTATAGAGTGGGCGGGATTATTCACATGTCATTATAGTTGCGCCGCCTCTACTGCTGCGGCTCCTGAAAAACTTTTTCATTCCGCATCACTCCATCAAGCTCTCGCTGGATCCGCTCCTCAGCTATCAACGGTGGAACAGCTGTACTTCCTCAACAGACAACGAAACAGCCACTTTTTTTGTTGTTAGAAAAACGTGCGCTCGTTCAAAACAGTTGCGTTCGATCCTTCGCTGGCTGACTGTGTGGTACGACTCAGCTCAGCACGACTCAGTACGGCACGGCACGGCTTGACTCGGCTCGGTTTGCGTTTCCACTGCAGTTTAGTACCGATTTAGAGTGGGCGGGATTATTCACATGTCGTTATAGTCGCGCCGCCTCTACTGCCGCGACCCCTGAAAAACTTTTTCATTCCGTGTCGCCCCATCAAGCTCGCTGGATCCGTTCCTATGCTATCAACGAGAGGAATGTCTGTACTTCCTCAACAGACAACGAAACAACCACTTTTTGGTTGTTCGCTGGCTGTGCTGATTTAAATCTAGCGGTTCTGTTGTGTTTGTGGTGCAAGTTCAGTGACGCAGGTAGTGACGATTCTCTCCGGCCAATCCGTGATCAGCAGAGTTTACACGTCACGTTTTGGTAATGGTATGGTTCACTTGGAACCTCAATGGAGGTGGTACTAAAAAACTGGTGGTACTGTACCCAGTGGAAAACCCTCCAAAAGTGAACCGTACCTTTGAACCATGCTAATGCACTTCCATTAATGCCAACAAAGTTTTCTAGTCATTTCTAGTCTAATCAACATTACAGACTAACTAAAGTTGAAAAAGTGAAAAAGCATAATAGGACCCCTTTAAAATGTCATAGTTGTTCTGGAGACCTTCTGGTGTTTTAGATAGAATTAGCAAGTCGTCTGCATACAGTAAATATTTGACTTCTGTGTGGAATAATTGTAGTCCTGGACTGTTTGATTGGTCCAGTAGATCTGCCAGTTCATTGATATATATGTTAAATAAAGTTGGGCTGAGGCAGCAGCCCTGTCTAACTCCTCGCTGTTGAGAAAAATAGTCTGTCCTTTGCTGTCCAATTTTTACTGCACATTTATTTTGGTTATACATGTTTTTAATTAAGTCATATATTCTACCCCCTTTGCCACTTTGAATGATTTTATAAAACAATCCATTATGCCAAATGGAGTCAAAAGCCTTCTTAAAATCTAAGAAGCATGCAAATATTTTCCCTTCTTTCTTTTGGTGTACATGTTCATTTATTAACGTGTGTAGTGTGTGAATATGGTCAGTGGTTCGATGTTTAGGGAGGAAGCCAATTTGAGATTTGCTGATGACATTGTGCTGCTTTAAGAAAGATGAAATCCGAGAGTTGATTATAGAGCAAAATGCTTTTCCCATATTACTGGTTACACATATCCCTCTGTAGTTATTAGTGTCTGTTTTGTCTCCACTTTTAAAGATGGGATAGATGAGTTCTGTGTTCCAGACCTCTGAAAAAACGCCTGAACTCAAAATCAAGTTAAAAATTTTGAGCAATGCAATCTGAAATTCAGGAGAGCTGTTTTTAAGCATCTCTTTTTTCTGTTGTCAGGGCCACAGGATTTCTTACATTTGAGGGATTTCAGTTTTCCAATAAGTTCTTGTTAGGTTATTGAATATTCTAGTGGATTTTGGTTGTTTTTGATACATGATTCAAGAGCATTACATTTTTCAAGAACTTTTAACTGGTTGGGATTATTCAGAGGGTCAGTTTGATGTGTATAGAGCTTCTCAAAATAATCTTTCCAAATGTGACCATCTTGTATAGCAAGTTCTTGTGGCTTTGTATTGTTTAGACTGTTCCACATGCTCCAGAACTGACCCTGATCAATTGTGTTTTCCATCTTCTGAAGTGTGTTGTTATAATAATCACATTTCTTCTGTCTCAGTGTGTTTTTGTATTGTTTCAGAAGATCTGAGTGCTTTGAGCGTAATTCTGAGTTGACTGGATCTTTGTGTTTTTGATTTGAAATGAATCGTAGCTCTTGTCTTATTGTTTTACAGTCATGGTCAAACCACATTTCAGAAGGTTTTTGTTTAGCTCCATTTTTGTGTTTATATGTGGTAGTTTCATTTAAATTAGCCTTTTTTGCTATATCTTCAAAAATGTACCTGGTAATATGTTTAATTGCTAAATGTATTCCTTTCCGATTATTATCATATGTTGAATTGTTAAACAGTGTTATGGAATTGACTATTTCATTTGACTTCAGTACTTTTATATATGTTTCAGCAGCACTACGAGTCCATCTATATGGTGTTTTGAGTTTATGTAGATGAATTGGCTTTTTATGAATTTCCCTTGATTTGCTGTTTTCCCCTTTAATGAGAAGATTGATCTGGCTGTGATCAGACAGGGGCGACTGGGCTTTGACGGTAAATGCACTGAAATGGGAAGGGCTTATATTTGATATGGCATAATCTACAACACAGTTCCCGAGATCTGAGCTATATGTGAATTGTCCGCAGGAATCTCCTTTGATTCTACCATTGAGGATATAAAGACCTAAAGTTTGACAAAGGTGGGCTACCTCTTTCCCGTACCTATTGACTCCAGTATCCTGGTTATTTCTTCTAGGTAGAGTACTGAAGAGATCTTGGGGTATATGTGTGAACAGATGTTTATCTCCTGAATTATCAATATAGTCTAATTCTGAACCAGTTTGAGCATTTAAATCTCCACATAGTGAAATTGTCCCCAGAATTTGATATTGATTCATTTCTTCCTGAAAAGTGTGGAATACTTCATCGTCGTAGTATGGGGAATCTGATGGAGGAATATAAATCCCACAGATAAAAAGGTCTTTATCTAGAATTCCAAAGCTTTTATCCAATTTTAACCAAATGTGATCTTTGCCTTGCTGTACTGGTGATGTAAAAGGGGCAAGGTCATTTTTTATCCATATGACTGAACCTCCAGAATCTCTACCACGATGTATTTATACATCCATGAGATATAGTTTCCATGAGGGCACTATGATGTAACTTGCAGGACACTGAGTGCACACATCTGATCTACACCATGTTTCTGTTAGAATTAGGATGTCAGCATTTGTGATGCTATTTAAAAAATCTGTGTTTGTGCTTTTTAATCCAAATGTTTTAGAGCACAAACCCTGAATATTCCAAAAGCTAATATTAAATATAATATAAACTATAATAATATTAAAGCTAATATAAGCTCTCTCTGTCTCTCTCTCTCTCTCTCTGTGGGCGAGCCGGACGCCAGCGGATCCGCGAGGCTCAGCTGAGAGAGGAGGACCAGGCCCTGCGGGAGGAGAGCCTCAGACATGGAGACATGGTGTTTGTGGACGTGGTGGACACCTACAGGAACGTGCCTTTAAAACTGCTGCAGTTTTATAAATGGTTAGTGCTGCGTTTTCATTTAGTTTAATGTATTGAAATAATGAAATAAAAATGAATTAAAACTAATAAAAATGACTAAAACACAATAAAATTACTAAAACTTAACAAAAATTACAATGAAAATGAATATATAAAAATACAAACGAATTGAAAATAATTGAAAATAAAAACTATAATAGTATGTAAATGGAAGTAAAAAAAAAGAAAAGACATTTATACTTCTGTTTAGCGTTAGACGCATTATATCTCAATCTTTTTTAACAATTCAAATGTATTTACTCTCACTTTTGATCAGTTTAATGCTGTAAGACTGATTAATTAAACATCGTGTCATTCTGACATGATTAACATTGCCTAATAGACTTGCCCATCTGACAGAAATCTGCCTGTCTGTCAGTTATATATGTATATATATTTATATACATTTTTAAATATAAAAAAATATAAGTGACAAAACATTTCCTGGTAAAAGAATAATTTGTTGAAAGGAAGTATACTTGCTATTCTTATCTAAAAATATAAATTGTTATATATATATTTTATGTTAATTTTTATAGTTTTTTTTCTATAACATATTTTACAATTTAATGAATTTTTTGGTGACAACCTTTTTCTGGTAGAAGGATAATTAGCTCTGTTTATCAGCGTATCGCATCAGAGAAGAGCTTTGATCTCATTATTTGGCCGTTGTTGATCAGTTTCAGGCAGAACTGGGCCGTGGATCGTGTGGGGAAATGGCAGGAGCTGGAGTACGCGAGTCCAGCGTATCCGGCCTTCGCCTGTGGATCTGGATACGTGGTGTCCAGGGATCTGGTGCAGTGGCTAGCCTGCAACGCTCAACATCTCAAAGCTTACCAGGTACCGTCCTCTCCTCATGTTACCTACAGATCAAAATATCATGAGTTTGTTTGATGACCTTCTTCAGAATACAAAAGCACTGTTTGTTGGAGTTACCCAGCATGCAGCTATATTATATTAAACAACTCCTCTGCACTGAGATCCATGATAGCAAAGACATGCGTGGCACCATCAGAAGCCCGTTGATAAGCAATGATTTCTTTTCCGAGCGGAGTAATGATTTGATACCGAGTTTAGCAGAGATGAGATCAATGCTTGCCTCATGAGTTTGTTTGATGACCTTCTTCAGAATACAAAAGCACTGTTTGTTGGAGTTACCCAGCATGCAGCTATATTATATTAAACAACTCCTCTGCACTGAGATCCATGATAGCAAAGACATGCGTGGCACCATCAGAAGCCCGTTGATAAGCGATGATTTCTTTTCCGAGCGGAGTAATGATTTGATACCGAGTTTAGCAGAGATGAGATCAATGCTTGCAGATACGTCAGTAACGATTTAGTTCGCTCTGAATCTCACACATTTGTTCTGGACGCCGAGTCTCTAATCCGTTTGTCTCTGCTGAATTCATTCTGATGATGGACACAGTAGCTTGACGAGGTTTTTCAGCAGGTAAATGTGTTTCTACAGGGAGAGGATGTGAGCATGGGCATCTGGATGGCTGCCGTCGGACCTCACAAATATCAGGTGAAAAAGACGTTCATTTTCAGCTGCACACCTTCAGAAACCAGCTACTCTTTAATCAATATAATCAAAGGCTACCTGTTTAATATTTCAGTTTTTTCTTGATGTTTATTTTGGATTTTATATATTATTTATTTATTTAAAATTAAAGGCAGGGTAGGTGTCTTGGTTCAAAAACATTTTTTTTAGGTATTTATTTATTTTTAGGTATTTATAAATACCTATAAAATTTATTTATAGGTATTTATATTGTTTGTGGAAGGCGTAGGGCCATAAAATGTTTGTTCAATCAAAATATTCGGTCCGAACATTACGATAGGCTGTCCTGTCTGCCTGTCAAATATGTATTTGCATACCACTGCACCCTGTTTGCAGTGAAAGGCGCTATTATTGTAATATTATGCACTTTGTACTGTAATGTTTTCTCAGCGGTGAATGAGACGTGAGGTAATCTGACAGCGTTGACGCCGTCTCTCATCGTCTCGTTGGTTAATCTCCGCTCTGACGGAGCGTGTTCATGTGTTTTGGAGGAGGCGTGACTTTGGAGCGTGATTACGCATGGAGGGTTGGATCTTGCTTTCAAAGCTAGTTTGCTATTGCTAGCTTCTCCGAAATCGCCTACCTTGCCTTTAATTAATTAATATGTATATAAATAGCCATATAAAATCACACACACATATATATATATATATATATATATACACATATATACACTTGTCAACAGTTGAAGTGGATCAAAACATTTAATCAAAGTTGTCCTAAGACAAGAATGCATTTTGTTTTTAGGACAACTTTGATAAAAGGTTTTGATCCACTTCAAATGTTGACATATATATATATGTATGTGTGTGTATATATATATATATATATATATATATATATATACACACACATTTACACATTAATATGTATATAATAGCTATATAAAATCTAAAACATATATATGTATATATGTTTGTATGTCAGTATTATACATGTTAAAATACTTTAAAATATTTATATAAAATTATAGACATTAATAAATAAAAAATTAAATACATTATAAACAAAAATACTTATATTACTATATATTACTGTACTATGATATATATACTTATATATTGAAATCTATATTTTATATAATATTTAAATTAAGCATTAATCAAGACCGAGTGTACAAATAATATTTAAATAAATATGTATAATATGTATGTATATATACACACACACACACACACACACATATATATATATTCTTGCCATTACTTTTTTGTGTATAATGCCTTTGCAATATTGTATGTAAACACAATCATGCCAATAAAGTACTTCAACATAAAAAAGAAATAAAACTGTAAATTCTGTTTTTATGGGGATGAACACAAATTGCTTGTTAAAGTCATATAGGGTTTCCTGCAGCACATAATTACACCGGCTGCTACATGTTGATTTGTGCAGCAGTTGCAGCCCCTGTTTATGGGAGCATTTTTGCCATTCTTGTATTTGTCCGTAAATAATTGAGTTTACATTTATGCATTTGGCAGATACTTTCATCCAAAGCGACTTGCACTTGCAGCTCATGCATTCCCTGGGAATCGAACCCATGACCTACAGCAATGCTGTAGGATGAGAACCGGTTGTAATGTAGTGTGTGTTTGTCAGGATTCAGGCTGGCTGTGTGAGAAGGAGTGTTACGTGGACATGCTTTCGTCACCACAGCACTCGCCGCAGGAGCTGCGCTCGCTCTGGGACAGGAAGAGGAAGTGCGGCGATCCCTGCGGCTGCGCCTGGACCGAACACTGACACATGCATGTTCACAACGAGCACTCGGCTGACGGGTTTGAGATCTCTCTTCGTTTTCTTGACATGTTCCCCCACCCGTCAGTACGACACACTAATCATGTTTACTTGTCCTTTATAAGCCTGCTCTGTTATGCCGGCTTTGTAGCTCCACCACCAGATGTCAAATTAACACAGGGTTTGAGAATCGCCAGGGCAGCTTTACCTGTGCTTCCTCATTCCCTATCTTTCTGTCACTTTGCAGCCGCTTTGCGTTCTCTGTTGCTGAGAGATCTTGAAATCGCAAAGCATGCAAATCCTTTTCACTGCTTTTATCTTAGCTGCAAGCCAAAATTGTTACACTGAAACATTCATTTATGAACAATAAAACATTACAACAGGATTGCAAATGTGTCTGTGTGCTTACAAATCAACATAAAGCAACTTCCAATGGCATGACACTACAGGTGAGAACGGTTTAAAATGTCACTTAGAAGATACTTTCCCAGTTGATTGTTTAAATATGCAAATAATGCATTATCTAATTAAGTATGCACTGATTTGCATATATATCTAGAGCAAAAATCTGAGCATTTGAAAAACCTGGGTCAAAGTTCTTGTTTGATTTTGTTGACATTTTGGAGTTAACGGTTTGGAATTTTGGAATTCTCTTTTTTTTTTTTTTATCACACCATAAATCAAGAAAAATTCCGTAAACAGCCAGAAAAAACATACATTTCAACAAGTATATAAAATCATGCGAACGATAAATGATCGAACCCATCTGTAAAACAATTCTGAATATTCTGAAGATGAAAATAAAATCGTAAAGTCTGGTGTATGTAAGTGTTAAGTAAAATAAATTTAAAATGTTCAATTACAATACATAACCTTAAAGCTGTTTTTATTAATGAATGAAATGTATAAAATCAAGTGAATGTTATATTTTGGTATCAATTTTGGTGTATGTAAGTGTTACTGAAGTGGAGAAAAAAATTATTTTGAGAAAACAGCCTTTAAAAATATGTATTGTAATTGAAATCTTTAGACGCAAAGAAATAATGTGCAATAACAAAATCAGGCAAATTATATATATGAACAAACCTCTCTGTGAAAACCTTTAGAATATACAGTAGATGGGAATAAAACGGCCTTTAAAGATAAGTATTGTAATTGAAATCTACAGATAACGTGCAATTAAATAAACACTTAAAAGTGTTTTTGGATGTTTTCTTTTTCACCAGTCTGAAACATTATGGAAGCACAATAGCCCAAAATTGACTGTTGTATGAAAAACAATGGGGTTTTCTTTGTCTGTAGTGTCTTGCCTTATTAGAAATTCTTGGATTTTGAAGGATTCTTGGATAGCTACTAAAAAGTGGCTGGTGAACTAGTGTCTCATACTGTTGCTGTTAAACTTTAAAAAAAAAAATCACTTGGCAGGAGGTAATATGAGGTTACAGAGCTGTAATGTGGTTTGTTTCATATTTAATGCGTCACTGCATCCAGATTTACCTCAAATATAGAAATATCAGCAGTGAGCTCATAATTCATGCTGCTCGCTGGTATTTGCAAAACTTTCTCATCGTTTCTCTCCACATGATGTCAAGAAATTATACAAAACTGAAATGAGAAATGATGTTCGGGCTGGTTGTTTTTCACATCTCCTTTTTGCCATTTCATGGTATTCCCTGAATCATCTGGAAAGTAAAAAGATGTCTTCAAGAGCTGAAGAAACGACCTCAGAATAACCCGAGTGAAATCATTCATCTGTTTCTGCGTGTTATTCTCAGTGCTTTTAGCGAACGGATGGAGAGATGAGCACTAAGAGCTCTTCCAGAAACTATTCTTAGCAGTTCTGGCAACACAGGCCTCAAGTTTCTCTTAATGCAGATCATTTCAGTTTAATGCCACCATCTGGAGTCAAAAATATAATCCCATAATTCATTTAAAAACTGATCCAGGCATGCTTTAAAATTCCAACATTTAAAAATGCATTGAAAGTGTAATAAATATAAAATGAAGAACTAGAAGTTCAAGACCAACTAGTGTGTTGGCTTGATCAAGACTGGCCTGGAATTCTAATGCAATTTTAATACCTGAGCCATTTGAAGGTTCAAGTATGTAGGCCTCACTAGGAGGTTACTAGGCGGTTTTGGGTGTATTTTTAAAGACATTAACAAAATCTAACACAATAAGTTTTTAATTTGTGGTAGAGGTCATAAGGTCTCTACTTGAGGGATCACATTTGGGCAACTGTATCTCTTTGTCTGCAAATGGTCTTAATTTTCTTAAAAGTAAAATAATGTATTTGCTTTGATTTTGTGGTGGGATGACAGACATCTGACTGTTTGTTTACGGTTATCATTTATAATCAAACAAGCAGCATCAGTCCACCGATTACAGTACATAAATATTGACCAAATATTGCAGACTAAGAGGCCAGTCAAGTTCCTGTTACACTTCATATGTCCGCCATTGAATTTATTTAATACACGAGTTTCACAATTTGAGTTGAATTACTGAAATAAATGAACTTTTCCACGACATTCTAATTTATTGAGATGCACCTGTATATACAAACATGCATACATACACACACTATTTATATATGTATATATGTTTAATTAGTGACACTTAGCCTGCATTTTAAAATCTTTATTTGAATGTGGCAACATAACATTGCACTCTACAATAAATCTCTGACCGAAACTATCAGCCAATCACTGTGTGCATAGTTAGAGAGCATGCTGACATCATCCATGGCAACGAGGTCAGCCCCGCCCCCTTACTCTCCGCTTAAGACTTCTCTCTATTACTTAGGAACAGATTGTCTCCATAGCTTGCGAATAGGTTTTAAGAGAAAACTCTTTGCTAAACTTTTACTGCCATTTAGAAGAACTCTTAGTGGTAAGATTGACTTAAGATAAAATGTTCTGTGAATCCAGATCAGGCGTTTTACAGGGAGATACAGAGTCAGAAATCAGTCAAACCACCGGAGCAGAAACATGCATTTAGCAGATTCGAGATGGATAATACTGCATTGCATTATAGTACATTATATTATCGAAACACTGCATCACACCACATAAAGTTGGATATGTCCAACTGTATGCAAATAAATACAGTACACATGTAAAGCAATATCAAATCTCAACTGCCTGATTTTAATTGTTTGAACAGATTTATTAAAATTAAATCAATTAAAATTAAATTAACAATTTAAAGTATAAGAATATATTACATAGCATATGCAACAGTAATCAAATCTTAATATGATGGCCTACTGTATATATATTTTAAAAAATCTACAAGCTTTCATTTTGCAAGATAACAACTGAGAATATTTCTAATCACACAATTTACATAATTTATTATTGCCATATTAATATAAACGTGTAACTTTATTTTAACAATTAAAATTACATTAATACTATTCAAATAAAATATTAAAAACCTATTTATTCATTATACTTATTAAATATAATTTATTGCTGTCACTTGTACTACTTTAAAATAATATATATTAAGTTGTTTTATAATCTAAATAGCAGAAATGGCGACAAACGATCGTGACTCCTGGCAAGAACTCTGGCAGCTGATTTTAATGCAATTATTATAATAATAATAATAATACAATATTATAATAATTAAAACACTACATTTATACGATTAGAATTACGTTTTAATCAATCAGTTCAAATAAAACAATATCATAACATTAAAAAAAGTCAATGTAGGCCAATTTAAAAGTTCTTTAAATGCAACAGTAATACACATTTTAATATGACAACCTACTGATGCTAAAAAAGTATTTATACAATGTAAAAAATAAATAAATCAATGCTTCTGTATTTTACACGCATTCAAATCTACAATAATGTTCTTTGAAGAATATAGCACAAGTGAGAAAATGCATAATATAAAATGTCACATAAATAAACAATTTAACTAATTTAATATAATGAATTATTCTCACTTGTGTTGTATTCCATAAAGGCAGCACACGGTTCCTGACGAGTGAATGTGTTTCTGATCAGCGCTGATAGAGAGCATATGGTGAGCAGAGGGGAGGCCGGCTAACGCATTCACTCGTTAAAGTGATCAGCGCTGACACGACACTCGAGTCCTCGGGGTCCGTCCACAGCTGACCTCTGAGCCACATACACTCACACAGACAGACAGCAGAACAAACACACCCGTCAGTCACAGCGGCAGGTGAACGCTGAGCTTTTACACTCCTAGACAACCAGTGGTGTGCACGGGGGGCTCAAGCCCCTGCCCCTTTAATCGCCGACGGAAAAGTGCCCTTTCAAGATTTGAAAACCAAGGTGGATCACACACTACAAGATCAGAGGATCTCATTATAATATTACCGCCCCTTAATCTGTAAACTTCCACTCAAGGCACCGTCATTTTGATTTCGCAAGCGACAACGGTGTACCAGCTCTAATGCCATGATGAAAGTTTGAGCAAAACACGCTAACTGTTCTGTGTTTGGCTGCGCAGACGAGCACAGAACACTGTTTAGAGTTCCAGCCTCAGAGGAGACGACAGAGCAGTGCATTTATTGATTTATTTACTGTATATTGCTGCTGCCACACAGATCTAAAATAAACATGCGATTTATTTCCCAGCCGTTTACCTTCACAGACATAACCCACTGTTTTTGTAACTCGTGTGTTTTTAACGTAAACTTGTGTGTGAAAGAGAACTTAGTTTAGTGCTCACATGCTGTGACAGCCGCTTTCTGTGCGTGTGCTTCAGATGTGTGCACTCAGAAAACCTTATATCTGAAGTTTAAACTCATATGGTTTAAAACGCATGATTTCAGCGCGATAAACATGATAATCAGAACCATAACAGATGTTTTTAGCAGGTTCGAGCTGTAATGGCGCAGCTCTATTCTTTAAAAGGGGGCGGGGAGCAGCAGCTCATTTGCATTTAAAGAGACAGGCCCGAAAAACAGCGCGTTTCTGCTTCCACTGAAAATAGGCATTTTCAAAATGATATAATAAATGATCTGTGGAGTATTTTGAGCCGAAACTTCACAGACACATTCTGGGGACACCAGACTTATATTACATATTGTAAAAAGGGGCATAATGTCACCTTTAAGATCATCATGCCAGAGGGAGCACCTCACGTGATCTCACGCAGCAGATCATCATTGATATTTCAGTGATGTTTACATATGTTAGCTAGCGTGCTAGCAGCTTTCTGCACTCACCCGGTACGTTCAAAACTGAGGCCATGTCACCCCAGTGAAATGTCAAACATGTCTGATACGATCGGGGTGGCCCCGATTTGTGTGCGAGCAGATCGGGAGGTGCAAGATTCGATCCGTGAACACCTCACATTACCAGATAATCAGTGCCGAACATTGGGACAGACTGAGGTGCTCGACAAGATTTTTGTTCAG